GAGCGTCGATTTGATGTGCGGTTCCTTCCAATTCACCAGCATTTTCCTTTTGTTCAGCATAGAGCAACTAAAAAATGCGATGACATTATCAACTCCCTTTGCATCCAAATGATTATCTGTTAAACAGAAGTATGAAAGTCAAAATGAAGAATATGTTGTCAACTTGTCATGGTGTTCAAATGAATAGAAATAAAAGGAAGTAGATCCTATTAGAACATAATGCAGAGCTGTAAATTCAAAGTGCAGACCCTTTACTATACGTTCAGATTCTACCAAGAAAAAGGCTATAAATTCAGATTCTACAAGGAAGAAAAGACTATAACTTCAGATTCTACCAAGAAAAAAAGCCATAAATTCAGACAATGTATTTTGGAAGCTAAAGCATCAAGCTCCCCGCGTAAAAAAAAAATAGCATCGAACTTCCTTAAAATCCTGAAAAGTAATCACCATTTCCCTAAATCGAAATCCCCAGATACCCCTTGCAGTGACGGGAGACACCGTTGTCAAACATAGTACCAATATGTATGAGCTTGTTCAAATCCTATGACGCAATCAAAATCCCACATTCGTTCTCATCGACAAAGAACTCCAATATTGGATCCAAATGATCACCTACATCTATAAAAAGAGACTCACACAATTGATCATCGACCAGATACTCCTAAACCCCCAAATTCCTGAGCTACGACAGAACCCAATCAGCACAATTCATCAAGAAAAAGAAACAGTGAAAAATGAACATAGAAAAGGCTCCCAAATTCATACCATCATTCAACTGAATTCCAACAGAAGGAAACAAATCTGAGAAACCTGCCACAAAACCAGCACTGACCTCGCCAACAAGCTCTAGTTAAGATGCTTCTTCATCATCATCATCATCATCCTCATCCTCCTTACTGGATGAAAACGGCCACTCACCGTCGATTGCAGCGGGTGCAGAGTCAGAGACAGAAAATCAATGATCGAATCTATCAAAAGAAAACAATGGAATCGCCAACGCCAGAGAATATAGGAAAAATCAAAACTCGTGTTCTCTTCTTCTCTATGAAGTCCTGGCTTTCGATACGGAGAGAGAATCTCGGGAGAAAACAACGACGAAATGGTTGGAGTGGGATTGTCTATTAACCGAGAAACCATGTTGTTCGTACCGGTTTTGGTACGGACCGGTTTTATTGCAATCTCAAAATTAGTTGATTAATAAAAGCTAATAAAAAAATGGATTATTACGGTTTCCACGAATTAAAATATGCATAAAACTGTATATTTATTATCGGTAATTATGAAGATTTAGAACTATGTATTATAAAATTATATTCGTAATAAAATTAATGATAATGTCTTAACAGGATTAATATTAGTATTTTAATAAAAAGCCTATAAACTAGTTTTATTAGGATATTAATATTAATTTTATAATAAATAATTCTAATTCTTCATAATCCTCAACAAAAATTTACAGTCCCAATAACAAGTTGTGGCAAATTAATTGTTGGTTAACCAAAAAAAATTAATTGGTAAATTCAAAATTCACGGGGAAAGGTAACGTGGATCGGGAATGAGAGTCCGGTTGGACTGAGATATGAACAAATCGCGAGATTATCGGTTGGTATATTACCGGCGATATATCGGGGGAGGAAGCTGGCGGAGAGATGATTGCGTCACAGGGGGAGGCATAGCTGGGGTCAACGCCGCTGCCTGATTGGGTGGGATAACCATCACAGAAGGTCATTATTATCTCTTTAAAATTATTTTCCTTATAAAAACTTAGATGTTTTTTATTTATTTATTAATAATTAGATCCAAATCATAGTGCATGAGATTAAATATTTATTATATTTGATTATAGCTTTAGGCTGTCACCCCGTTTCTCCACATGTGAATTCTAGAACATAACATGCATGTATATCTTCTTGAATATCTTGTTTCCATAATTATAGATGACAAATTTTGATAATATATGGAGTCTAGATATGCATTTAAATGTTGGAATAAAATAGGATAATACCAAATTAAGATGAACAATTAGACAGTTGGTTTTGAAAGTGTCATGTTCTGGTAGGACAGTCCTGCCCTAGATCTTACTCGAGCCCTTGGGATATTTTAAAAGATTCAAGTCTCCTTTTCAGTATCGTAACATTTTATCTGCAATGTATTAATTTTTCTCTATAAATAAAGAATCCACCCCAATAGATCCGAATATGTGATATTTAAGCTCGGGGTTGAGAAAGATTCGTGACAATAAATTAATGTAATTTATTCTTGTCAACAATAAAATGATGCGTAGAACATGAAAATTATATGAAAGGGTAGATACAAATAATTAGGTGGAGTTTCTTCTAGATGTGCAGCCCGGTCCATGGAGCATTCATACATATGTAAAAAGTAAATACGAAGGTTGATTATGTTTTTGTAAGAAATGCTTATATTTGATTTGAAATTTATATGGGGTTTGCAACTTCGTGCATGTTCGGATAGCTGATTTTATATTTATATATATATATATATACACACACACACGATGAAGGGTACGTAAAAAACTAAATTAGTGATGATACATATCATCTAAAACGTCTAATTATATTGCCTGAATATGTTATAGGTTTTGTATTTTGTTTTAATTATCTTATAAGTATCACGTATTCACGTATACGGAGTGTGATGAACAAGGTAAACTAATTTTTATATGTTATTTCGTCTGTAGCATATATATATATATATACATATGTATATGTACTATGTTTGCATTTTAAAATTGTGTACCGATCACTTATCTATACGTTAACTCTTACAATCAGAGTCATACAACATACGTTTCCTATGTGTTAAGCAATGACAAGCTCTCTACCATTGCATGTATATGCACAAACATACGTATAAATTCATACATAAACGCATATCTCCATCACGTCCAAGCGTATACCCCACAGACACGTATTACATACAAAAAAAAGGACACTGGATGGCTGAGAATACAACGTTCTTGTTATGTCTTTCGAACAGAGAAACAGAGGAAGAAAACACGTTGACTATGATGCAGGATTCCTCCACGGTGTCATTTTGCACCAGCTTCAGTTTCTACACCTCCGTCGACTTTACCGACGCCGCCGTTAAAATAGCCGGAGAATCCAGATCAGGCTGCATTGTTCCAGATCTTTACTCCGTTAAAGTCGACGGAGACTGGGAGGATGACGTGGACTTCGAGTTTGTAGCCCCCAAAACGACGCCGTTGCGTGAAGACGACCTCTTCTTCTTCCCCGCCAAACCAAACGACACGGTCCCGACAAAGCACGAGGAAGACGATGTCGTGGCAACCGATCTAGAAATCTCGAGGAATCTTTTACACGGAGAATGGAATATTCCGTCATTGTCTTCACCGTCACTTTTGTCGTCAGAATCCAATGATGGGGAAAATTTACGGGCGGGAGGTCGTCGCTCCAAGAGCAAATCCAAAGGAAGTTCTTCTGGAACACCGAAACGGTGGCGTTTCAAGGATCTTCTGATGAGAAGCCAAAGCGAAGGCGGCGACGCCACCTCGATTTTCACGAACGGGAGCGACGGAGAGAAGAATAAGAAGAAGAGTTCAACTTACGCCAAGAGGACCCACAAAACGACGCCGTATGGTGTCGCGCAAGGGGATAAGCGAAGAAAATCTTACTTACCGTACAGGCAAGATTTGATTGGAGTTTTCGCCGCCGTGAAAAGATTATGCCACTGACCGTAGTTAGTTTTATTTCATAATTCAGCACTTGAGCAAATGGAAACAGCAAATCAGCCCTATTTCCTTTTCTTTTTCTCTTTTTTTTTTTCATGTGCAAAGAGTTTTGGTGTGGTACTGGTATCCGATTCGCTCTGACAAAGTTGTCAAAGCAGACACGTCATCAAAATGTATGCCACGTGTAAAGCGCTACAAGAAACTGGAGTGGCCACGAGAAAAGCGGGACCCACTTGAGGCCACGTGGGCCACTTGTATCTTACACACTCCCTCTGCCTCTTCAGCTGCTCCACATTCCGTATATGGCTTTCTTTTCCAATTTTTTACACATAATGAAAGAAAATGTTGACATTTATGGCGTCTTATTGCATAAAAATGTCGACATAGTTTCGCTTCATTACATAAACACACCAAATTCAACCCTTTTTTTTTTTAAACACATTTTATATATCTTCATCCAACCTATATAATATCCTCCTTCCCAATAGAAGCCATATTTGTCCACTATTTTGATACGGTCATCTCCACTCGCCAAGAGGCTAGAGAGTGCAAACCCAAAGAATAAAAAGAGTGTCGTGCCAACTTTTTGTAATGTTCGATTATCGTTCGTTGGCTTGACAACCTTATCTGGTTGACAAGAAGTGCGTACGAGAAACATCACCCCAACCATGTTCATTAATTTCTCTCTCTCTACATGGCTGATATATGTAATTGTAACTTGGGATTTTGCTTTTGCATGGCAATAGATCCTGTATTTTTTTTTTAAAGACAACCTGGTATTCTTTTGTGCATAATACAGTTAGAGATAGCTTATTGCTGGTCTTGTGTCGACCAACATCTGGATGTGAACCAAAGTTTTTCGGTAGAAACCCGAAAGACGAATCGTTCATGTGTGCGGATGGGGTCACCATCTATCGTCCTCGAACCCACGAAGGTAAAAATCAAAGAAACCAAGACTAATGATATATAATATATATATATAATCTCATCAAGCATTTGTGTGTATTTGTATATATGTGTGTAGATGATAATAAAGGAGTGGTGCATGGTGTTTATATGATATGTGAGTGGGAAAACTATGACCATTGCCTTGTTTTGGAGATAGAACCTTATCCTCTCTCTCCGCCCCTAAAATTCAACCATCACCACTCCTTCACCTTCCACTCATACTTCCCTCGCGTTTTCCTTCTAGATTATTCGCCGCGTACGTGTCTCCATTTTGTTTCTTTCTCCTATAAAAAAAAAACAAATATTTCGATAAACTGTACCTTTCTTCTTTCAGTACTGCATCCGCATAATACATGAATTCAAAGATTAGTGGAAGATAGATATAATTCTGGATTGATATTTAGTGTTAATTTAAATATGTAACCCTCGAACCATTTGGCCTCACGTTACGTTCACAACCGAGTGGTGAAATATGGCACGATGCAACGAGGAATGTACTTAATTGGCATATCGTAGATATCATTCATGCCCATATACGGTACAACCGCAAAAATTATTACAAACGAAATAAAAATTAAAAAATAAATAAATAAAACGGCCGTTCACCGGATTCTCTTTCCTCATCCACAAAACGGAACAAGGTTTCTTATTCACCTTACCTTTCGCTTTCCTTATCCTCGTCCCGAACCCATTTCAGTGTTTTTAAAAAACCCGATGTCTCGCCAGTCTTGTGCTAACTTCACTGAGTGTAAATTAATATACACTCTCATTAACTTATTAAAAGTCTTATAATATTTAGTATCATCGTCCAGAAAAAATGTCGACGGCGGCCGTCAACGGTTTCTTCCTCACCTCCCTTTCCCCGGCTCAGACTTCTTCTCCGCAGAAATCCACTGTTCGTCCCTCCATTGTCGCCCGCCTCTCCTCCTCTTCCTCCTCGTCTTCTTCTCGTTCTGTCCCGAGCCTTATCCGTAACGAGCCCGTATTCGCTGCCCCCGCCCCCATCATCACCCCTTCTTGGGTACATATATATTCTACATTCCTCTCTCTCTCTCTCTCTGCAATCCTACATTTTTCACACTACGTGTGTTTGCATGGTGGTTTTCGTATATATGTTTAGACAAATGTGAAGATATAGTATTGGAGATATATACGTATTACAATAATTGCTTCGTTTGTTTTTCCTTACATCTTTTTATTATTATATATTATATTTCCCGGACGAAATTAGTGCTCGCAACGAAAGGGCCGGCGTTACGAAATTAATGTTAATGAAATGATTGCACGAAAATGCATATCGAGTCATACGAACAAAAGGGGACTATGGATATTTAGTTGATGGAAGAACAATTGCATGGGTGAGTAATTACAGTGAAAAGACGCATTCCCACTCCCGGAACCATGTGTCCGAAATTGGACTTCTAATTGCTTCAACTCATTATACGATGTCTTTAAAAGGTACTTCCCGGAAAGTTGGGAACTCTTACTTTCCCCCCAAGAAAGGTGGCAAGTATTTATCTCTGAAATGGATACTGTGTGTCATTATCATATTTTAATAGAGCTTTTCGCCTGCTGTTATCATATGATCATATTTCAATTTATCCCAAAAAATAAATATCATTTTATTGTTTTTTTTTTATGTGTGTTGTATGTGTGGGTAGATTGGTAGTGATATCGCCATTGATATTAGCTTGCAGCAACCTACCCATTTTTGCTCCTAACCACCTTGTACCAATCTTAACTACCCAAATAATGCCTACGTGGAATTACATATGTGGTTGAAAAAACATATTAATTTGAAACTCTTTAATTAGTTTTTAAAATTATTTATCAATTTTCCGGGAATAAACCTATTTAATTTCGGTGGGTCGACGACAAACTTGCAGAGAGAAGGAATGGGGAATGAATCATATGAAGAAGCCATTGAAGCTCTCAAGAAGCTTCTCATGTAAGCTTCCCCCGATCCCACGAGACCAATTTATTATTATACTGGAGAATTAAAAAAAATCTATTTTATGATTTAAACGAGAAATTGATATACGGTTATTAGAGGAAAAAAAAAGTATATAAAAACAATTAATTGATGAATATGAAATTGAGTTCGTAATGTGACCGAAACGAATGAATGGGCAGAGAGAAGGGAGAGCTGGACGAGGAGGCGGCGGCGAAAATGGGACCCATAACGGCGCAGGCTCAGACAGGTTCGTCCTCCGACAGCAAACCCTTCGACCCCGTCGAGCGCATCAAGCAAGGCTTCATCCACTTCAAGAAGGAGAAATACGAGTAATCTTATTATTTTTTATTTTCTTTTATTATTATTATTACTAATATCTCTCTCCTCCTCCATTGCTCTCTATACATTTTCTCTCCTCATTATAGTATATACACATGTGTTATGTAGTTTTATAATATTTGTTTTTTGAATTACTTTCAGTAAAAACCCAGCTTTGTATGGTGAGCTCGCCAAGGGCCAGAGTCCCAAGGTAAAAAAAAAAAGAGAGAAAAATCTAATATGTAATTGGTTTATATATATATATATACGGGTGTGCTTATTATATACATGATTAGATCGATGAATTTGTAAAAAAATGAAAAAAAAATGGTGCAGTTCATGGTGTTTGCATGTTCGGACTCACGAGTGTGCCCGTCACACGTGCTGGACTTCCAACCCGGAGAGGCCTTCGTGGTCCGTAACGTCGCCAACATCGTTCCTCCTTTTGACCAGGTATACCATCATCACCGTCATCATGTTACCATTGTAGAGACGAAGTGTTTGACTTTGACTTTTTGTCAACGCAGGTCCGGCACACCGGAGTTGGCGCCGCCGTTGAATATGCTGTTTTACACCTTAAGGTGAGGCTCTCCGTCTCTGCATGTATATATACTTTCTCAGATGTGTGTGTATAGATACGTGCTACTGCGTATACATGTACGCCTGTGTCCAAAATAATTTTGAAAAAAACCATTCGTGGTTAGCAATGATTGGAAATTAACATGATTCGAAAATTGCATGGATTTTAATCATCTTAAAATGAAAAATGAGGCAAAGCGCGATAACGCATGGTCAAAATATAATAAGCCGGGCCAGTGTGACCAATGGATCGTATTGGGCCGAACCGTTCGATAAATATAAATGATGGGTTTTATAAATATAGTATTTCGTGATATGTATTATGCTGCGATATTAAAATTAATAATTCGTTTTTCAGGTTCTGACTGATAATATGTGTGCATGTGGTATTCATATAAAGTTGAAATTTTTTGTGTAGGTGGAAAACATTGTGGTGATTGGTCACAGCGCATGCGGTGGGATAAAGGGGCTTATGTCTTTCACATTCGAAGGGCCCAACTCCACGTAAAATTAAATATATATATATATATAATAAACAAAGATTTCCCAATTAAAAATTAATTAAGTATAAATAATATTTCCTTATATAAAAAAATAATTAAATTGCAGTGATTTCATAGAAGACTGGGTCAAAATCGGTTTACCAGCTAAGTCTAAGGTTTTGGCGGAACAAGGAGATTCACCCTTTGAAGCCCAATGTACCTATTGTGAAAAGGTACATCTTAATCATTGATTACGTTACAATGTAACTTAGCCCACATATATATGTGTGTTATATATATATATATATATATGTGTAATATATATATATATATATATATATATATATATATATATATATACATATGATGCAGTTTCTGATACATTTGGTGCGTATTTTTTTTTTGGAAATCGAAAAAAAAAAATTGCAGGAGGCAGTGAATGTGTCGATAGCAAACTTGTTGACATACCCATTCGTGAGAGAAGGGCTGGTGAATAAGACGCTTGCATTGAAGGGAGGATACTATGACTTTGTCAAGGGCTCTTTTGAGCTTTGGGGACTTCAGTTTGGCCTCTCTCCCTATACCTCTGTATGAACCAACCCATCATCACCATCATCATTACCATCATGATCATATATATATCCATATCCATCCATCCATCCATCCTTCACATCTTCTCCATGTACATGTTTTACCTAATTTGGCCATGCCCATGTAATCTGTTGTCCGCCCTTATGATGAGCTCCCTCTTTCTCTCTCTCTCTCTCTCTCTCTCTTTGCTTTTCTTCACCTTCCAACCTACAAATTAATAAATAATAAATAAAAATCCGGAGACAGTTTAATATGTTTCTTTTGTATGTTGTTTGTTTAGGTTAAAGATGTGGCTACCATACTTCATTGGAAGCTGTAGGAAGTCTTTGCATAGAGGTCATTCAAGCCAAAGATTGGTCTTTCCCTTTTCACTTTTCCCAACTATATATATATATGAACCCTTTTTTTCCATGTAGATCAATATATATATAATCCCATTAATATATATAACTAAAGCTTTTATTATTAGCATATCTTGCAGTGGTCCCTTTCTATACGTAATTTCAACACATATAGCGCATGCATGATTGATAGATAAAATCACTGAGGAAAACAAATACAATGATATCTCATATATATGAAAACAATAAACCCACTGCAAGAAAATGATATGCTAATATTGTACCCGTCATATATAGGATCTTCTGCATCGCATTTTTCCAATACCAAATAGTTTATATTATAGTTTTTTAAAGTCATATTAGATTTTCAATATATATATATATATATATATGGATGTTTTCGACATAACAATAAGGTGAAGAAACCACCTTTTAATTAACACCACATCCAAATTGCCTACTTTGTTTTTGGTACCCTAAGTTAGTTCCTTGTTTACTATTGTACGGAATTATACACTGTATATCTTAAAGGTAGCTTTTCATTAGTCTTAGATAATCGGAACTACCATTATCTTAAATTGATGAACAAAGACATCTCAAAAAAAAAATTGGACCTTGTTTTATAATTTTTAAAATTTTTATATTTTACATTAAATTAATTATAAATTTTTATACGTTTGAAATTTATTTTTGTAAAATAGAATATAAAAAGTTAATATAAATAATCTTTTTCTTAATTACAATTCAAATGAAAATTCTATCGTTAATAACATTAATAAATGAAAAAAAAGATGACATTTTTATTAATAAAAAATATAAATCTTATAAAGTGATAAAAATAAAGATTAAATTGCACAACGATTGGCACGCCTTCTAAGAAGGATCTGTTTGATGAATAGAGACCAACCATTAGTCAGCTTTGTATGTACGTGTGATCCTGGTGGCCTTGTCTATGAACAGAATAAAGGAAAAGACGTTGGGCTAATATATTCTAAACCCTTGATTTCTATATTTGAATTTATATTGAATCTTTGTTGAACAAGATTTCAAAAACCCAGCTATATAAAATTAATAAGACTATATATATATATATATATATTTGTAGGGTTTTGAAATTCAAGCTTGGAAAAAGTCTAGACAAGAACATGAATTTTAACTGTTAAGGGGAGACAACCTTGTCATATAGTATTTATATAATTTTCTCTTAGGGCAGGGCGAATATAAATGACAACATTAAATTTATTTAGTTATTTTAAAGGGTCAGGACAATTATAGTGCTATGCCAAATGGTCTTTATTTACATGCGCATTAATATCCTATATTAATTACCCCATGAGGTGAGACCATTGGGACCATAAATATATATATATTTTTATTAATATGATTAGTCAAATTACATATGGACTATGAGTTGGGATTCTTTCTGGCATATTACTGCCCTGTCCTAAATTATTGCACCCTCTATTAAATTTTTATTACAATGCACCCTTATGTGGTGTGCCCCTGCTTTCATTAATCACCTGTATACACACACACACATACATATCCATATACATCCTTCAACTTCTCTTATTTTTTTCGCATGATTTCTAAAACCTATAATATATATATTACCATTATAAGTTGTATACATGTTTTTGTGATCTTGAATTGAAAGCTATTGAGCACCCTTTTTTATAAGGTGAAATATAAGTTGGCCCGTTTAACAGAAACAAAATATTCATATAGCAATTTATATAGAGTTTATAAGTTATAACCAGACCCAGAAGGAAAAAAGAAAAAGAAATTTCTTAACAGAATGATTAAGCTAATCATACACTGCCACATCAACAATATATTTCAATATTACCATATTGTTTGATGTATCAGTGTTTGACCAGCTATGAAATCAACATAAAAGAGTAAAAAAAAAAATAATACAGAAACATATATAGGAAACAAACAAACAAGAATACGGGGATCAAAAGCAATGTCCATCTATGAAATCCATCATGTTGGTGAGAGTGCTCAGATCAAAATCATCATCATCATGATGATGATGAACCCAAAGAGAACCCATGTAGCCACTCTCTCCCCCTCCTCCTCCAAACATCGGTCCAATGGTCTGAAGATGGAGGCTTGGAAGCAGTTGGAACTGATCCAATATCCCTTTGTCCGAATCAGAAGCTCTGATCTCTTTCACCCTTTCCCCGTTGATATCCGAAAACTTTTCTTCAGATGCGTCCGTAGGATTTGGAAGACTTGCCGGAGCATCATCACCGTTTCCAATATTCATGGATTTGCTTACTGTTTGATCTTTGATTCCCAGTTTCTTGCTTAGGTGCGTGTTCCAATAGTTTTTCACTTGGTTGTCGGTCCGACCAGGCACCCTTTTAGCGATCAAAGACCACCTACAATATACAACATATACATACATATATATATATATATATATGTATTGTACACATATTAGTGAGCTAAATAATTCTATGGAACAACAAGTTTGAAACATTTTTCTCTGAATGGATTGAAAATTCTCCATCATGTTTCTATGTTCTCGATAGCCTTATAAGAAAAAAAAATCTATGAATTGTCAACGAATTCGCGAGTGGTGTAGCATTAGTATAGAAATATGAACCCTTTCTCGGCAAATGAATTTAAATGGATATATATATATATATATATATATATATATATATATGTAAATATATATATATATATGTAAATATAATGAATATACAAAATTCACCTATTCCCAAGCAACTTGTGTAGCCTAATGATGAGATCTTCTTCTTGCTCAGTAAAATTGCCTCTCTTCACATTTGGGCTAAGGTAATTCATCCACCTCAACCTGCAACTCTTTCCACACCTCTTCAGACCTATTCAATCCACACAATCCAAAATTTCAGAAAGACCCCTAAAATTCAAGAAAACTCCCCAAAGACCCCTTACTTTTTGTCTCGCCCCCAAGATCGTTCAACTAATTCGGGAAAAGGCATAGTTTTTCTTTTTCTTTCACCGCCCACCCAAAGAAAATAATCTGGAGAACAAGGAGAGAGAAAAGTGACCAGTCTTTTTGGAGATGCGGTTCCAATGGCCTTTGCCATGAGCTTTGACATAATCCATGAGGATCTTGTCCTCTTCCACTGTCCACAAACCCTTCTTGTACTCATTGTTTCCTTCATCTTCTGTCTTCTTTCTCATTCTTTTTTTTAGATTTTTTTTTGCTTCTATTTGCTCGATCGAGAGAGAGATGGAGAGAGAGAGAGAGGGAGAGAGGGGGAGGGGACAAGCGTTAGGGAACACAACACTCACTTTGGTTGAGTTTTTAAGGAGCGTTTGTGTGAGATAGGAGAGTAAGTATACACAGTGATTTGTTAGGGTGTTGCCTTATATACGTATACATGGTTATATATGTGCATGATATTGTTTAAAAATAGCATGTGACAATGAAATGATGACAACTGATCTTCAGAGATGCCAGCTAGCGGTAATTACCGCATATTGATTGCTTAAGAATTTAATTAAAGTTCTTCAATGACAGATAGTGACTAAAACCAAAATTTGTCCCACACACAAGAAAAAAACACAAAATAATGTATATCAGATCTGATGAAATGTTAATCCGAATTTTTTTGTTCTAATATTTCAACATATACTTTAATAATATGTAACTCCGTATTCATTATATAAATTAATTAATTACGACTGGAGAAGAGCAGAAGGCCAAGAGGAAATGCCACAATCTCGACACGACGCCGTTCAGCGTCCCACCAGGAGACGAGGACGAGGCTACTTCTCTCACAGCCCTGAAATGGAACGATGTACGTACGAACTTGTTACAATACAGGCCCGTTTATGGGCCTGTATCAGGATTCTCGGGCCCAATTATGAATCACACGGCTTGGGAGTGGGTGTGGCTCGAAGTCTCGAATCATTCGTTCTCAGATCAGATGCCTCCCCGGACAAACATTTCGTTATCTTACACGACGATCACGTGGCTATATAAACAAGATTCGACTTTGATGATCGAGCTCCTCAGGCATCGAAGTTTCACATGTCAGACCAATGCTTTTTTAATTTTTTTTTAAAAAAAGAAATTGCCGGACCAATGTTTATTTATAGCCAGCTTTTAACTAGTAGAACACTTCAGTAATTAAATCTCGCTGTAAAACTATAGTAGGAAACAGTAAAAAAAGAAAGAAAATAGAGCTGATTGATATGTGTATACGTATATGGACACGTTGCAAGCGAAGAAACTGGTTGACTATATATCGTTTTTTTTTTAAAATTTGTTACATCATTAACATAAATTAAATGATTTTAAATTAGGTGGGAAATTGAAGAAACCCCTTTAGTTGTTTTCTACCGCGTGATTTAGCTCTCTGTAATGAGTGAGAGAATCTTCAATGTTTTGAATAATTAGTAAAATAAATAAATATTTTAATGTTGGAGTTCTTTGTACGAGTGAGAGAATCTTTTGAATAATTAGTAAAATAAATAAATAAATAAATATTTTAATATTGTGGAGCTCAACAGAAAAGGTAAGTGGCATGAAAATCAGCGGATATGATTAGGAGGAGGGTGGTGATTAAGAGAGGCTTTTGACCCTCTTGGGATTGGGATTTGTCATAAAAACATTGTCATTAGAGGCAAGAATAGAAGCTCCCTCCCTCTCTGTCTTTTTTTTTTTTTTACATCTTGGCCTTCGCGCCACGACTGTTACATTTCCATGCACATTGCACATGTCTTATAATAATTCGGTCCAATTTTTATCATTACGTGTCCTGCTGTTGGATTCGATATTTTTCAGATTTTTATTTATTATTATAAGATTTTGTATATACACAGATGAAAATGAAAAAAGGGGATTGGATGTAGTTGGCACATTTAAAATTTTCAACAGCTTCAAGTTTTGCTTTTTTGAGAGACGAGCCAATAAAAGGATAATAATTCCTGCACCTCTTAAATGGTCTTTATCTTTCCCCTTATTTTCATTTACATTTTTTTTTTAAAAAACAATTCACAATATCTGATATTTTGTCCATATTCAAACATGTAATGAAACCGAGTTTTTAGCATGCACCCATGAATTAATTAATATCAAAATGAAATTCTTTGTACATTCGTAATGATTATAAAATCTACTCCTCTCCTATGAACACTTTAAATAACTGACATAGAGATAATATGTGGCTCTCTATAAATTATAGACGTACGTTTTAAATGATTGGATACGATATAGCTTCCCTTTTGCAAAATGAACTATTTGACCTAACGACCCTCTTTAGAAAATAAAAAATAAATAATAAATTGTACCATCTTATCATATAATTAAGAAGACAATATTCTACATCCCACATAAATATCACAACAGTATAAGGCGTTATAATAATAATAATAATAATACATACGTAATCCTGTTTGCTGAATTAAAATCTAAAAATACCCCACTTCCCATAAATACACACTTATCCCAAGTCGTATTGTATATTTCTATACACGCGGCGTCTCCTTGTTCGTCCATGCGATGCAAGCATGTAACATTAGAACGACCCATAAGCCCATCTTAGGCCCAATTTAGAACGGCCCATAAGCCCATGCTAGGCTCAATCTACATATATTGGAATTTGGACCTATACCCATCTCTACTCTTCTCGGGCTTCACCTGTTTGCATTCTAAGCTCGTAAGATCTTGTCTGAACGGCCCAGATTAATCGGCACAACATGATCACAGTCGACGACCCATATACTTGCATGATATGATCTGTATGATGAATGTCACATTCCAAAATATAGAATAAAAATGAAAAACTTTGAAATTCTATTGATGATACAAAATAAAACTATGAAAATTAAAATGAAAAAAATTAATCGAGAGGAAAGCTGTACAGAATCGGAAGACAGTCCTTTCTGCCTGAGTATATTCCTTCCCACACACAAACTGCAAATAAAAAACATCAATCTTGAGAGGAAACATCAGAAAATGGAATAGAGAAACAAGAACCTGACGATGGAACATACACACACACACACATATATATATATATATTACCATTTATGAGTTTAAAGAACTGCAACTCTTTTTCTTGCTGTAATACTCCTTTAAGCGTCTTTCCCAATTGGCCTCCATTCCCGGTTCAGAAAATGCAGAACAGATGTGGGAAATTGTACGGTCAAATGGGACCAGTCCCTTTTCATCCATCTCCATTAACAGCCCCTTCGCCTCTTCCAAGTGCAGTGATCTCTGTTTCCTATTAACCTTTGGAGGGGTGCTAAGTTCGCACAGGCCAGATATCATGATATCATATGTTGAAGAATTGGGGCTGACTCCTCTCTCTTTCATGTCCATCATTAGAGCTCTTGCACGATCCATCCTTTTATCCTTTATGGATTTCTTGATAAGCACATTATAAGTGCTGGTTTTGGGTACAAGCCCTCTGGCAATCATTTCAAAGAACATCTTGAAGCTTTCCTTCACGTCCCCTATCTTCGCATGACCAAAAACCAAAGTATCGTAAGTGGAAGAGTCCGGATGAAGACCTCTGTTCTTCATCTCGCAAAACCATTTTTCCACTTCCGCCATCCGACTAGAATCCAAGAGACCCTTTATAATTGTATTATAGGTCGTCAAATCTGGGGTTAAACCCTTCTCCAGCATATCATAATATGTAGCCAGAGCCTTTGCTACATGACTGCCTACAAAGTACCCATGAATAAGGGCATTAAACGTGATAGTATCGGGGGAGAAGCCTTTGTCTTCCATATCTTTTTTCGTCTCAGACGCCTTCTTTGTCATACCTAATCTGCATAAAGTTGTAATAAGAGTGTTATAAATCGAGCCACTGAGCTTGATTCCCGAATCCAGGAGTTTATTGTGCATTTTGAGAATTGCATCAGCTCTTCCACACTTTGAAGAAGCATTAAGCAAAATCCGATAGGTTGTCAAATTAGGATGGCTCCCCATAATCAACATTTCATTCAGTATATCCATTGCTTTCTCCATCTCTCCTTTTTCACAAAGCATTCCGACCAAAATGTTGCATGTGATCATATTTGGTTTTATTCGGTAACTCTTCATCTCATCCCACAGCTTGACAATACTTCCAAGTTTTCCCTGCTTACGATGAGCAGTAATCATGGTGTTATATGTAGCAACATCTGGAGCTAAACCTTGTTCTTCCGCTCCTGTATAGACTGAGTCAGCTTCATATTTGCCGAGCTTTAACAAACCATTGATGTACACATTGTAAGAAACAATATCTAACGGAATGCCTTTCTTTGACATCTCTTCAGCCCACTCTATAGCTGCTGATTCATTCCCCTCCTTAAAGAACCCATCCATCAAAGATGTGTAGTTAACATGATCCAACAACACACCTCTAGAAACCATGCCTCTGGCTAACCCAGCAACTTCTTCCATCTTTCCAATTCTTTTGAAGTGATTCACTAGGGCATCCAGAATATATTTGTTCTTCTCCAACCCCATGAGCTTTATTTCATCAGAGAGTTCAAATGCAACTTCTTGTTGACCAGCTTTAAAGAAGCCATCAATAAGTGAAGCATATGTAAAAGCATTCGGCATAACGTTTTTGTCAATCATTTCCCTCATAACACTAACAGCTTCTTTGAGCATTCCTTTCTTCACATAGCCATTTATCATACATGAATATGTGACAACATTGGGAAGAACACCTTTCTCCGCCATCAGTGATAGGACAGATTCTGCACCAATTATATCTCCCACTTTGCATAAACCATCCATCAAAGCAGTGTAGGTGATGACATTTGGAAGATTATCTTCTAACAACAACATCCTAAAGGTGTCCTCAGCTTCGACATGCTTTCCGGACTTAAAGAGTCCATCCATCAAAATGGTATACAGAACCAAATCAAACGGAATCCCACGCACAACCATCTGACTATGAAGAGCCAACGCATTGTGGCAACTTTCTGCTTTAAACAGTGAATCAACAAGAACAGTATAACATACGCGGTTGGGATCCACACCTGTCTTCTCCATTTCCCTTAGTAGCAACCATGCTTCAACAATTCTTCCATTCTTGCACAATCCGCTGATAATCGAACCACAAGTAACAATGTCGGGCAGCAGCCCACCTTTAACCATTTGCCGGTACAAAGAACACGCTTTTTCAATGGCTCGGTGCTTGCAGTAAGTACTTGCCGGTGTTGGTTCAGAGATTTCATCAGTTAGAGCCTTAGATCTAAAAAGGCCTCCTTCCTGACAAAACCCATTAATCAAGGTCTTGTAGCTAACGCAATCGGGCATTATACCCTTCTTCACCATTTCAGACAGAAACCCATAGGCCTCGTCAGCCAGACCATGCTCACACAAACCCCAAATGACAATATTATAGGTAACAGCATCGACTTTGATTGCCGTATTTCTGACTATGCTAACCGCAAAGCTCAGTTTACCCACTTTGCACAAAGAGTGAATCAACACATTGTGAGTAAAAACATCGGGGGAAACCCCACAAGTTATCATCTTGCTGTAAATCACACATACCTGCGAGACCAAACCAGTGGTATTCAGATGGTGAATTAGACGATTCCACAGGTACAAATCCGGAACAAAACCGAAGTTGCACATCCCAGAAAGCGTCTTTGTAACTTCCTGGAGCCTCCCAAGGCTTAAGTAGAGCCGAAAGAGGGTCCGGAAGAGAGAGACGTAAAGACGGGTCTTCGGGGTCGAAACCACAGCTTTTCCCGGAACGAAAGCTCGGTCTAGTGCGCATTCTGAGCTTAAAGGGCTAGTACCGCTGATCCCTGGGTTCTGGGGTTGTTTGGTTGTCGAGAAAGTGCTGCAGCCCGGTAGAAAAAGGCGAATTCGAGGAAATATACCCTTTCTCGTATAATCATGCAGAATCTTTATCATCATCAGCGAGATTGGGATTCATTTATGAGATCCCAAATCAAGGCTGTTGCTGCTTATTTTCTTCTAACGAGCTCCCATGGCTGCCCGAGAGAGTTTCTCCGACTGGAGAAGAGCAGAAGGCCAAGAGGAAATGCCACAATCTCGACACGACGCCGTTCAGCGTCCCACCAGGAGACGAGGACGAGGCTACTTCTCTCACAGCCCTGAAATGGAACGATGTACGTACGAACTTGTTACAATACAGGCCCGTTTATGGGCCTGTATCAGGATTCTCGGGCCCAATTATGAATCACACGGCTTGGGAGTGGGTGTGGCTCGAAGTCTCGAATCATTCGTTCTCAGATCAGATGCCTCCCCGGACAAACATTTCGTTATCTTGAAATCGAATCAAAATCAAATCGATTAAAATTAGACAAACTATATATCATCGATTAATATACAATATATAATATATCTAATAAAATAAAATAATATAATGAAATTGTTTTATAAAGTAAATAACTAAAGTGGGGTTTTTTTTAAACTTTTCTTCAATAATGTTTCGAAATTTTTTTATTTACTATTATAATCGAACTAAATTTTTATTTTGTCATAATTTTAATTAGTATAACCAGATCAAACCAAACTAAACCGAATCAATTAAATTCAAATACCCATTTGGCCATAAATTTTCAAAATACGGAATAATGGAACCCAAACATCAAGAAACCCTGAAAGGTTTAACAAACCCCGAAAATTTGATAGTGGAGCAACGCAATAAAAACACCGAAAAAACTATATCAAATCAAAAGAACATATAACTACATATTCTATTCAGAAGGACGACGACGATTTGAGGCCGTCGTGGGAGAAGAGACGAAGGCCGAGCAAGTGCCACAATCTCTCCACGACGCCGTTTTAGCGCCCCAACTACGGTCACAGAAGCCCTAAAATGAAGTTGACGTGCATTTGAACCTATTACGATACAGGCCCGTTTGTAGGCCCATTTAAGTATTTTGGGCCCAATTAGAGGATCGTAATAAAACTAGAATCTTTTTGTGGTAGTTTTCTTTAGCAGATTTAATTAATTAATAACAATACGATTCCGTAGATTTTACTATCGTGTCTCATAATTTTATTTAGCATAAATAATTTTCTGAGACGATAGGAAGTAATAGACTATAGTTAGTAAGCCCTCTTGGCTAATTTTAGTGGTCAGGTGCTAAGAATGCCTCATAATTGATTTTTAGTAGATCCAAATAAGTCGTTGGATATTTTCGATATTCCACGTGGCGAACAGTGGAGGATAAGGGAGAAAAGGATTGTTGTTTCGTCCTACATAAAGGGTGTTTATGTCCTTTCGGTGAAACATCATCTCCACGAGAAAGAGGAGAAAGCAGCCAAATTCAAATCGTTCTCTAGTTTTCGAGCTTCGATCTCTTCCG